GGGGTCTATATATGGTGATTAAAGCGAGAGATAACATAGGTTTTTGTATAGTATGTGGAAGCTGAACATTAAGCGATAATACTTCAAAGGAGCTAAACATAAGTCCGTTTCTCTGTTTAATATTAAGGAAATCACTAAAGATTGATGCAACTCCACCACCACGACCAGTTTGACGAGCCTCATGTTTATATAAGAATCCTGGAGGAGTTGCTTCATTTAAGCTAATATAGTCATTTTGTTTCAGCCAGGTTTCAGTGAGACAGAGTGCATTAAGATTGTTTTCTGTTATTATTTCATTAATGATAAGTGCTTTAGGTGCAAGTGACCTGATGTTTAGGAGACCAAGTTTTACGAAATTTGTATTTTCACTTTCTACTGGTTTTTCTGGTTTGATTCTTACTAGATTTTTTCTGGAGCACACAGTACGTTTATTTCTTAATCTAATAATACGAGGAACAGACACAGTCTCTATAGGATTCGCCAGATATGCGTTACTGATGTTTAAGTGGGGTGAACAAGAGTCTAGGTGGCTATAGTGTGAATTTTGTGAATTTTTACCTGCTAGTCAGATGGTGCGAAGTAGTCTGGAGATGTTGTCCGACAGGAGTTCAGCTCCGGCTCGACTGGGGTGCAGGCCGTCAGGACGGAAGAGCCTAGGACGCTCCCAGAAAAGATTCCAGTTATTAGCAAAGAGCAATTTTTGTTCTTTACACCATGTTATTAGCCATTCATTCAAAGCTAAAAGTCTACTGAACCTTTCATTTCCTCGGCGGTAGGTAGGAAGCGGCCCAGAAACGATGATCTGCGTGGCGGGCGAGGTGCGTCGAACCGTCTCGATCAGGCTCCTGAAGTCCTTTTTCAGGATCTCCGACTGCCGGAGCCCGGTGTCGTTTGTCCCCACGTGGAGGACAACGGCACCAGGGCTCTCGGCAGCGCCCAGGATGGTTGGAATCTGTGTAGAAATATTTTTCACACGGGCACCAGGAAAGCAGAAAGTACGTACTTTATTACCTTTTGAGGAGGCGGCACGGACGTGACGAACGATCGAGTCACCGATGATGGCCACATCGGGACCCGACTCGCGGAGAGGGGAGAAGCGGTTCTCCGTGGAGATCTCGAACACAGGCGGAGACGTTCTGCCCCGGGATCTGGGAAGCACCTTGCGCGGCTGCACCCAGGCGCCGTGGTAGCCGGGTGTCGGCGTGAACGACGCCTGGCTGAGCCGCGCCCCGGGTGCGCTGGGCCTGGACAGAGAAGGACGCGGGGTTGAGGTAGAGGGAATGATGTGGTTGTAATTTCCACGTACCTTAGGTGATGAGACGGCCTTAGCATTAGGTACGGCGAGAAGCCGTTCCCGTAGCTGTGACCGTCTTACCACCAGCGCGCGGATCTGGGACTCCACTTCTTCCAGCTCCAGCTCCAACGCCTCCATCGATGCTTCTCCTGCACACATTGATTCATATTTCATTTGAATCAGTAAGTTGTTAACTATAGACTAACGCTGATGAAAAAAAAAATACAATCTGTGAATTGGCTTGCTCTGCTCGAATCATCTAAATCAGTGCATTATTAAAAACTCACTCTGTCTGGATCACTTGAATTGGTTGGTTGCTGACTGGAGATTCTGATCAGATCATTTAAATCAATGGCTGCGTCCAAAATTGCATACTTTCATACTATATAGTATACAAAAAACAGTATGCGAGCTGAGTACTATGTCTGAATGCATAGAATTTGAAAAACAGTGAGAAAAACGGTGCGCATGATGTTTTTAGTGTACTATATATTCGGACTCAGCCATTTATTTAGCGAGAAGTACCCAGATGACCTACTACTTCCGGCAAGATTCTAAAGTGTGCATTTGATGCACGCTCTGCTATCCCATGATGCCTTGCGAGATAATTCATAAATGGTAGTGAAGCGACACAACTCACACAGGCCACGGTTTGTCATGTGATCATGACAAATGGTGGATGTAGTAAATCCAAGTTCCATTCATAATACTCACATTCATACTGTATAGATGCTATAGAATATACTTTTCTAACGGCTGAGTAGTACATTTAAATTCAAATGCAGTACCTACTGAGTAGGCCGTTTCGGACGCAGTCAAAGAGTTGTTTACTGGACACTCAGTCTAACTGGATCATTTAAATCCATAAATATTTATTAGAGACTCCCTCTTGCTGGATCTTTTAAATAAGTTGACTGTTAACATTTGACTTAGTGGGTTGTTAACGCAAGCTTGTGCGACAAGTTTCGCATGTCTATGCTTTGGAAAGTTCAAGTTTGTTGAACTCTGACCTGCTAAATTGCATCACGTGATTATGTGAGACCAATAAAAGATCAATACAATAGCTCGATTTCTCAATCATTTTGTTTAATCCCGCCCCTTTTCACTGCGTCGTACGACAGAATTTTGCATGCTTAAACTTTAGTGTGAATGCAACTTCAATCTGATTGGATATTTAAATCAATGAATTCTTAACTGGAAACTCCTTGGACCTGTTTACTCCTGGTCACTACATGCATTTTATTTTTTCGGATAGTATAGCTATCTGTTTTTCAAAAACACTGACTGACTAAAACGTCAGATACATCACATTTTTAAAATAAATATTAACTAAATATTTGGCATTTAAATTATTTTATGCGTAAACTGTAAAACATCACTACAAGCGCAATCCATGATTGCTTTCATTAAAGGTTACAATAAACATCTATTTTTGTAATAAAGATATTTCCAAGACATCATTCAAAACTTTAAAGGTTTTAAATTACTTTGTGTATTACTTTTTCTCCCAAAAACAAAACAATATGGTTTTGTAAACTAACAAAACATTATATTTTGATTAATCCACTCTTTTAAAGAGATTACATGTGTGTACTGCTGTTGTTAGTGCTGCCATCTGATATTAATTTTCCAATTTACTTTCATCATGTCACAGTCAAAAATAAAACAAAACGAACAAATTTTACTAAAACAAAAACAAATTCTTCTCTTGCTTGACGTTTGTATATCTGACGATCATATAGCCCACAACACGTGCACTCTTAAGAAATGTCCATGAAAAGCCAGATGCATTTATACATGTCCAGTTTCGCCTGGAAACCACCTCCTAAAGTGGTCTGAGCGATCGGATTTTTAAATTAATTTTAGAGGCCATTTACACCTGTCCTTTTCATGATCGGATAGCTATCTGATAAGTGAAAGCACATGAAGTGACCAGGTGTAAACAGGACCATTCTAACTAGATTATTTAAATCAATGAGTTGTTAACTCAGGAGGAGATGGCATTGAATCAGTCCAGTTCACTAAGAAATCATTAGTTGTGATTAGCAAATTAATTTAACATGTTAATTGAATAGAATCAGCTTGTTCACAAAAAAAAAATACCAACAATGCTATCACATCAGAGCAATTCACAATTTGTCCAGTAAAACAACAACAACAAAAAAAAAAAAAACGTTTTAAAGACAATTATATAATAGTGGAGTAAAAAGTATGCTGTGCTATGTTTGAAAAAGTAGACAACTAATAGTTTCTCAAAAAAAAAATGATGTAGTACAGACAATATATTACAGTTGAAAAATGTTTGTTTGTTTGTATACTTTATTGTCACTCAAGGGGAACTTTTCTGTGCACTCACAGAGCACTTCAGCAAGTTCTTACACAATAAAAATATAAAAAACAAACAAACATGCAAAATATACTTAAAAAAAAAAAAACATATGCACACTATCGATCAGTGTTCAACAGTCTGATTGACACTGGGATAAAAGAGTTCTTTAGTCTATTCTGCTTCTAGTGGAAGGTTCTGTATCTTACCAGAAGGGATCATAAGAGATGAGATGGATTGTTCAGAATTATTTTTGCTTCATTCAATGCATTGCTTGTAGAGTATGTATTAAAGAAGCTACTTGAAGTAATTAAAAAAAAAAACTGTTCATTGTATATAAACAAACTATACAATTGTTGCAGTGCTTTTTCTTTTGCATTTGGTCAAAATCATTTTGCTATATTTAAAAAAAATAGTGTCTTTAATATGAACATGTTCTGAATATAAATGTTCTGTTTTTGTAAGTTTCCCATCTGAACACACACACACAAAAAACATATTATTAATGTTCTCCTTGAAGCATTAAGTCTAACCAACATAACACGAATAATGCATACAACTGATTGAACATACACTAAATCGCCATTGAAAACTATTAATATTTATTTCTGTTGTTTTTTTTTCTCCATTTTATATATATTTATAAGCCACCAATTTTTTTTGGTTTTAAATATCTGAAATTATTTTTTTATATAGTATCAAAGTTAAGTCAAAGTCAGCTTTACTGTCAATTTAACCACATGTACAGGACATAGAGAGAATTAAAACTGCGTTACTCTTAGACCTTAGGTGCATAACAAATAATATTAATACAAACAGTACAATTTTAAAATACAAATTACACATATAATCTAAAAAATAAAATATATTAAGTTAAAATATAATAAGTAAAATAAACAAAAATTGTATACAATTAGTATGCTAATTTATCCATTGCATAAACATGGATAAGTTGGCGATTCATTTAGCTGTGGCGACCCCAGAATAATAAAGTGACTATGCCGAAAAGAAAATTAATAAATGAAAAGTATGCTAATTTACAAAACAATATGGAGCTTTTAAAGGGATATAAAAGCAAAAATAAATACATTAAAAAAAAAAAAAAAATAAATAAAAATATATATATATATATATATATATATATATATATATATATATATATATATATATAGAATGTATTTGATCAAAGTCTGATATGACATTTGTTTAAAACAAACAAAAAAAAGGGATCACAACTCAGAACCCTTTTAATTCTGTTAGGTCAATAATGTTCCACATGTACTGGAACACGAATCAGTAATGCTCAAAAAACACACACATAAAAAGCCAGAGAGTCTACACACTCGACTGGTTCTCATCTGTGAATTTCTTGTTTTCCAGTGGAGGAGGACAGCAATCCACAGCACAATACTGACACCCCGGGATCCTCTTCTACTCCTGCTGTGCTCAAGGTAATGAGAAAACACATTCCGGGGCAACGATTTCACAGTGTGTATATGTAGTTGTGCATGTATGTTTTGCTGAGCTTCACAGCCATCTAGGTTGCTCAGGGCTGTCCATACAGTACATTCCCTGATTGAGCACCGTTACCCCACAGCTCAGTCATCAGTAGAAAGCCCTTGAACTGGCAGAAAGAGAAAGAGCCTGCGATTGCAGATAGATGGATATTCTATACTGTGTGTCAGGACAGAGCCGTCCGCCTGCCTCTGAGACTCTGGGCTTTTTCCAGTGTGGTTTAATAGCTGATGGCTCACCGCAGCACATCTGACAGCACTGCGATCAAGACAACAGAATAGCAGAGCTTCACAAGGACAAATGATGTTTCAAAGGCAGCGCTGTATAGATTCTACATTCCAAACATACACTGTCTTATCCGTGTGCTATAAACCATAATTCACTAACAGGTTAGCCTTAAAGAGATAGTTACACTGTAAAACCCAACAGTTAACTTTATCAAATGAAATGAGTGTAGTTAACTCATAATTTACTGAAAGTTAATTCTACTCAATTCAACTCAAGGTAATGAGCTAGTTAAATAACGCATTACTTCAATAAGTAAGTTAATAGTACTCATATAGATTAGTTTTTTTTTACTCAAATGGTTTGTAGCAATCGGTTTCCTCAAACGATTTGAGTTGACTTGACTCATTTGTTCTTACAGTGCTCAGTTGGTTTGAGTTCTCCATATATTGGGTTTTACTGTGCTCAAATTGTGTCGTTTACTCAAATAGATTAAGTTCACAGTACTCATTAAGATTAGTTTTTGAACTTAAATGGTTTGTTGCAATTGGTTTCCTCAAATGGTTTAACTTACCTTAACTTTTTGTGTTTTATAGTGTAGTTATTACAACAAAATTATTATTATTTTTTTTAATATTCCACTTCCAATCCTGTTTGAGTTTCTTTCTTTTAATTAAAGGTGCTGTAGGTGATCTGACAGATTGCTTATGTTCAGGCTAATGTTAGTAGATTTGAAAATTGTAGAAAAATAAGCTGTGTCTTTTTTTAAACAAAACAGCAAATATTTTAATGTAAATAATAATTTTGTTGTAATAGAAAATATGAAAATGGGTAAATGGGCCCTGTGTATTGAATGTCATCATTGAACAGCTGAAATTAAAACACACTTTGCCTAAAAACAACAGGCACAAATAAATAACTTACACTTTTGGAAACTAAATTTTGTATTTTCAATGTTTTTCATATTAAAAGTAGTAAATAAGCAGTATCTTTTCTAAATAAAATAGCAAACATTTTAATGTAAATAATAATTTTGTTGTAACTTAAAATATGCCATCTCAAGGCATCCCTGGTGCAGCTTCCAATCATCTTCATAGTGCAAAAGTGTGATGTGTGACATTTGTTGAGAGGTGCATGCAAAGGCTGCACCAGACCACACCCCTGCGTTTGATGCAGAAGCTTAAACCAGAGGTCACATAACTCCACATGCGGTAGAAAAAGTAACTGAAAAAATTTACCTGATAAAAAAAAAATTATTGATTATAGGTTCTGAGTGTCGATTTACTTTACTTTTCGATTAATCGCCCAGCCCTAATTTGAAAATATGGTCTCACTATATTTGTTAGTTGTGATATTTAATTAATCTTGTCTCTATCTAACGACTTTTCGGTCTTTTGAATCTGTCAGGTAATGTGTCACAGCGTCAATACACTGCTTCAGTCTTTCACTTTCACACTTTTACTTAGTGATTTTAATGAAAATCTCAGATACTGTTGGTTGTGTACCTTTTTTACTGACCAACCTCCCGTGGAAAAAGTGATTGATAGGTGGTATTTTGTGTGCAACTTCTTTTAATTTATTTATGATTTGTTTATGGGTAAAACAAATACCATGTGGGTTAGGTAGTTGAAATGGTAGGCTACAAATAATAAATTCGTTTTGAAATAATTAATTAATCATAAATAATTATGTAATCTCCGCCTATGATGACGATGCCATCTGCCATCGCGATGTTTCACATTAGACATTGTACGATGCCAAATTGGTCAACATCGCCCAACTTTAATGCATATAAACACATTCATATAAGGAACACAATCTACATAAGCTTTGCCTGACTAAAATAGTTTTAAAACATACCTGTCTAAAAGTAGTTCTTCAGCCATAGCGTCATCCCTCAGATAGTGGTTTTGAACTGCATAACAGTTTTCCAGTGTGCAAAAGTAATTTTGATAATGAATCAGGATTTAGAATAGTTTTAATTCTACAGTTTTGGCAGAAGCTCTTTCAAAAACAATCTCTTTTCATTTCATACGTTGATCTTTTTAGAAAAAAGTCCAGGTTGATGCTGAGTTTACTTGATGTCAGATTCATGCTTCACGTTGCACGCACATATCACGTATCTGTCTGCTTGAACAGGCTACACAGAAATACAAATTTAAATTTGTTTACTAACATTTTTTCTTATGCCTTACCTAGAATATAAAAATACATCTAAATACATTTAGAATATTTATTTTAATCAGTACTATCAGAATGTGAAGAGACTTTTAACCAGAACAACAAAACATGATTCTGAAGTCAATCACATACTGCACCTTTAACACAAATGAAGAAATACTGGAATAAAAAAAAAATGCCATTGACTTTTATGGTATTTTTGTTCTTCCTATGTATGTCAATAGCTATGTTTCCATTCAAAAATGCGAATTAACTTTATGGGCAAAACTGGATTATCACATAAAAGATGTGCAAATAAAGCAGCATTTCCATCCAACAAGTCAAAGGAAACAACATCGTCACTTCCTGATTATCTGGTTCCAAATATCAACAGTAAAAACAGAATTTGCTGAGGTAGGAGAAGCTGCATGAATCTTTCATTAATGAAGGTCATTAATAATATAATAACACTAATACTGAGATGGATAAGGCGTTTTAGAATGACCAAAACAACATTTCAGATGTTTTACAATGCGGCCAGCCTGCTGGTTTATCCATTTACACACATTTTTATCATCACATGATCTCTTATAACAAAATCACAACTTTTTTAATGCACATACTGGATGGAATTGGTTTGGTAAAAGTGTTTCCATTGCAGTTTATGCACATATTTTCTTATTGAATAAAACGTTTATCCTACTCAGTTATTCGCTTATGTTTTTATGCACATTTTAAAAATGTATGCGCATCACGCCATTTTCATCAACCGTTTTTTTATGCGCAAATCCAAAATGTGCATAAAAATAGGTGGATGGACATGTAGCTAATGGCTGTTATTCCACCCAACATTCTTTAGATTATCTCATTTTGTGTTCAACTGAAGAAATAAATTCAGAAATATGTAGAACCTTGAATGTGAGTAGATAGTGAGGAAAAGTTCATTTTTTAGGAGAGGCATCTTTAACTGGTTCACTTGAAACAGTGGAAACCAAATACTTTTATTTTTACAAAAATAAACAAAATGCATGTATAAGTCAACAATGAAATTCATTAGTGTTACAGTTAACTGCTTTGAAACAAAAATGAGCTATTATAATTGATTTATCAACAGTGATTGCTTTATATAGATAGCAAAACAAAGAACATTAAAAAGCCCCGTGTGCTTTACATGTACTGTAATGTGAAGTGTGGCTTTTTGTGAATCTAAAATGTATGCAAGTAAGTTTTAATTGATCAAAGTATAAAAAAATTAAATCAATTCTGAACCACTGAAACTACAGATGTCAGAAATTAATTTCTGTAGCCGATCAGTGTATGTCGATATAACTTAACTTACTATAACCTTAGTGTGATGAGCAAAAACAGATAAGCAAGAATTGTTCACATATCTTAAAAGGCCATTGACACTAACCTTAACAGCGTTGGGTCATGCAGAGGTCAAAACTGATGATATCCATCTACTTTTGCCTGCTGTCATCAGATGGGCTAGGTTGAATAGATACTTGCCATTATTTGTTCAGATAGCAGTTGGATTTCTTAAAGAGCCCATATTATGGATTTTTAAAAATTCCCCTCCATGTAGTGTGTAACACAGCTCTAAGTGAAGTGAAGTATCCAGCTAAGGCTTAAATCTGTAAGAATACAGTGTTTAAAACGGTTGATTCATCTATAAAAGAGTCGACTCATAGTGCTTCAAACGAGTCGCCTTGATACCGAGTCATTAGGTGTTTCGCCATGACGTACGAACGAAACCAAGTTATTCACGTGGACGCGCAAACCCAGGAGATTTCAAACCTGAGGCCCCGCCCTCTGACGCAGAAACCCAGACACACACACACACACCCACAAACACACGCACACAAACATGCCGGTCGATTGAAGTCACACTGCAGATGGATATTATCGAGGGTCTACCCAAAGATGAAACCTCAGCATTATAACCAAGCAGTTGGAAACTACTGGAAACTACATCCTACAAAGAGTATTTCATCGGCGTTTGTTAAAGGAAGGATCAGTAAAGAGTAACTTACTGATGGACGTCAGGATTAGTTTCTTCCTCCATTTCTCAAGTGTAAGTACGTGCGATTAAAGTTGTTGCCTCGTTGACTAGCTTGCAAATGTATTTAGTTGGGATTTGTTACTTGTAACCGCGTGTACTGTATCAGGTTAACTGGCTATATTCTCTTATCGCGTGCATAGTCACGTTAAAAACGCGACGCGTGCTGCTTTGTTTATGGAGCTCCGTGAAGGAGTAGTGTGTGTGTGTGTGTGCGTGCGCTGTCCTCCAGAGGTATGTGTGTGTGTTTGTGTGTGTGTGTGTGCGTGCGCGTTGTCGTCCGGAGGTGTGTGTGTGTGTGTTTTTGTATGTGTATGTGTGTGTGCGCGCGCACGCGCGCAAGGACAAGGGCAATGTGTGTGTGTGTGTGTGTGTGTGTGTGTCTGTGTCTGTGAAAAGAGCAGAGTGAGACAAGCTATGTGATCTCCTCGACAGTTTTTGGAGTTTTTGCTCAATAAAATAGTCGTCTGAATTTTCAAGTCCATCGACTGT